TGAAGAGACAAATACCGCACAGGGGAAAGAGAGGGAAGATAGCAGCAAACGAACAAAGTAGAGATTATGAAATATCAGTTACATACAGTGGTTTCCATTTAATTCAGCATGTGGCACAAAATTTAAGCGACATTGGGCCTCATGCAGCAAGATTCAGACGTCACCTCCATATGCAGCATATGTTCTTAACCATCCAAATCTGCTCTAACCCAGATGTGCTCAATTACACTGAACAAAAATATAAACGCAACACTTTTGTTTTTGCTCCCATTTTTCATGAGCTGAACTCAAAGATCTAAAACCTTTTCTATACACACAAAAGACCATTTCTCACAAATATTGTTCACGAATCTGTCTAAATCTGTGTTATTGAGCACTTCTCCTTTGCCGAGATAATCCATCCCACCTCACAGGTGTGGCATATCAAGATGCTGATTAGACAGCATGATTATTGCACAGGTGTGCCTTAGGCTGGCCACAATAAAAGGCCACTCTGAAATGTGCAGTTTTGCTTTACTGAGGGGGTCTGGGGGGGTCAGAAAACCAGTCAGTATCTGGTCTGACCACCATTTGCCTCACGCAGTGCAACACATCTCCTTCGCATAGAGTTGATCAGGTTGTTGATTGTGGCCTGTGGAATGTTGGTCCACTCCTCTTCAATGGCTGTGCGAAGTTGCTGGATATTGGCAGGAACTGGTACACGCTGTCGTATACACCGATCCAGAGCATCCCAAACATGCTCAGTGGGTGACATGTCCGGTGAGTATGCTGGCCATGCAAAAACTGGGATGTTTTCAACTTCCAGGAATTGTGTCAGATCCCTGCAACATGGGGCCGTGCATTATCATGCTGCAACATGAGGTGATGGTCGTTGATGAATGGCACAACAATGGGCCTCAGGATCTCGTCACGGTATCTCTGCGCATTCAAAATGCCATCAATAAAATGCACCTGTGTTCGTTGTCCATAACATACACCTGCCCATACCATAACCCCACCGCCACCATGGGCCACTTGATCCACAACGCTGACATCAGCAAACCGCTCACCCACACGACGCCACACACGCTGTCTGCCATCTACCCTGAACAGTGAAAACTGGGGTTCATCCGTGAAAAGAACACCTCTCCAACATGCCAGACGCCATCGAATGTGAGCATTTGCCCACTCAAGTCGGTTACGACGACGAACTGCAGTCAGGTCGAGACCCTGATGAGGACGACGAGCATGCAGATGAGCTTCCCTGAGATGGTTTCTGACAGTTTGTGCAGAAATTCTTTGGTTATGCAAACCGACTGTTGCAGCAGCTGTCCGGGTGGCTGGTCTCAGACGATCTTGGAGGTGAACATGCTGGATGTGGAGGTCCTGGGCTGGTGTGTTTACACGTGGTCTGCGGTTGTGAGGCCGGTTGGATGTACTGCCAAATTGTCTTGGCTTATGGTAGAGAAATGAACATTAAATTCACGGGCAACAGCTCTGGTGGACATTCCTGCAGTCAGCATGCCAATTGCACGCTCCCTCAAAACTTGCGACGTCTGTGGTATTGTGCTGTGTGATAAAACTGAACATTTTAGAGTGGCCTTTTATTGTGGCCAGCCTAAGGCACACCTGTGCAATGTTCATGCTGTCTAATCAGTATCTTGATATGCCACACCTGTGAGGTGGGATGGATTATCTCGGCAAAGGAGAAGTCCTCACTAACACAGATTTTGACAGATTTGTGAATAATATTTGAGGGAAATGGTCTTTTGTGCGTTTAGAAAATGTTTTAGATCTTTGAGTTCAGCTCATGAAAAATGGGAGCAAAAACAAAAGTGTTGCATTTATATTTTTGTTCAGTGTATGAATCCAACTTGATCATAAGTCACCTATTAGTGTGGGTAATAAAACACCCTTAAACACTATAAAAAGGCAGGGCTGTGTTCAGCCTTGACAACATGTAGCAAAATGTTTATTCAAACAGAAACAGTGGTGCGTTGAACATTGTTGTGTTACACAGGCGCATTGCCTTTTAATATGGCGATGTCCCATTCAGTCCATTCAAAGGGGCTTTGTTGGCATAGGAAACATTTGTTTAATCGCCAAAGGAAGTGTGAAATAAAAACAAAAATTGTATGGACAACTACGGATTGACCTGACTTTGGTCTATATACTGCGCATGTCGTTGCTGATTGGGTAACACCTCTAACACAACCACCAAACCAGAGAAAACATACCTCAAAGCCTGTTACACACTGTGTCACATAGTTTTAAGGAAACGTGATGTGCAACCTGAAAACTGAAGCAAAACAGTGCAAAAAACTTTAGATTGAATGTGCCCCAGGTGTGGTGCTGTGTGCAAAGACTCTGCCACATGCCCAAGAATTGGAGAGGTGCCACCAAAAAAAAGTCTGAGAAGAAAAGAAAAATAACCTCTGCAGGAGTGAAATTGATGTACTGTTCAATAAACTTGAACAAAGTAAATGTGATTTTCCAGAGTGCCAGTACTAAAATCAATAAAAAAAACAGCAATAACAAAACAGTTGTGTCAGCAGCAGTGCTGGAGGTAGAGATCCTTTACTTAGGTAAAAGTACACATACTATACTGTAAAAAACAAAACAAAACAAAAAACAGTTAGGCTACCAGTATAAGTCCTGCACTGAAAATGTTACTTAAGTTAAAGTATGTCAGTACAGTCAGGAAAATAATGTTTCTAAGTATTAAAAATACAAGTTATCACCCAGAAATTTTTAAATGCACAAAATCAAAATAATTGAAAGAAAAATCTGGATAAACAGTTATCAAAATAGTTGCCAATTAATTTTCTTGTAAACGTACTAATTGTTTCAGCTGCACCTGTATATCTTCATATGGTTCATGTGCAAAAATATTAATTTGTAGAGTAACTAGTGATTAAACCTGTAGTGGTCAGTGCAGGTGGCATGAGATTAAAATACACAAGTAAAATAAAAGTACCTCATATCTGTACTTTAGTACAGTACTTGACTAAATGTACCTAATTACATTCCACTACTGGTCAGCAAAGGGACACACAGTAACTGAATTTATAGTAACTGGGATCAGTGGACCAGGTATAGTGGCATTTCTTTAGCCCTCAAATTTAATGATCCAATCATCACTTTAAAACATGATCATTTAAATTTTATTACATGATATACATTCTTAAGATTTCCTTGCATGGGGCAACAATTTGAGGGCTGTTATAACAAGATGTTCTTTACTTTTCTTGGTGAGAATACTCTCCATCCGCTCATAAAACGTTCCCTTACCTGGGTTTTGTCCCAAGTTTACTTATACCTCATTATCTTTGGATGATCAAATGTCACTTCAATCTCACTCAGCAAATTATCAGATGACAAAAAAGTTTTGTTCAATAATGTGTCACTATATGGAGAACATGTGACCCTGGCCTATTTCAGATGAACTCAAAACCTCTTTAAAGTTTCTCTTCTGGCATTTATTCAACCGCTAAAATGTATTTCTGTTCATCAAGTTACATTTAAAGACATTTTTTCCCATGCAAAAATCCCTTTGGGCCTTAAAATGGTGTAGATGTAAGAAGTGTTTTCAAACATAACAATTTATCGACACATATAGACACTGAATATTTGCAGTATCAATACAGTATCCATTCTTATCAGCGTCACCTGTACTGTGTGTTTAGTGCTAATTAGCTACCCTGCTAAACTAACATGGTGATCATGGTGCACATTATACCTGGTTAACATCAGCATGTTAGCATTTTCACTGTGAGTATATTAGCATATTAGCACGTAGCATTAATCTCTAAGCATCAGTGTGCCTAAACACTGTCATACAGAGCCACGAGTGTGACTGTAGACTCGTCAACTATGACATGCATGGAGCACACACACACTCCTCCAACTCTTTCAGCCACTGTCACGTTCATCTCACTGTCTTGTGTCATTTATAACATATTAAAACACCTTCCTGAAAAGTTTCTCCAAATTATTCAGAAACATACATCAAGTGAACGATGTCAAAATGAGTCAATGTACTTTAATCCTTGAACACTGCCTTCCTGATGATTACGCCTGTCTTGTCAGCCTCCATATACAACATGACAGTGTATGGTGCACTGTCATGTCAGCTGACATAACAAGTGACAGTGTCTCACATTATGATGTCATCGTTATGTAAAGGGGGCTCCCAACACTGCTGACACAGGGAAATATTCAAGAGTGGATAAATTGGAAGTGAAAACGATCAGCACCAGCAAAAATACATCTATCTATCTATCTATCTATCTATCTATCTATCTATCTAATTTTCTGGTGTTACATAAGAAGAAAGGCAGAATATGACTTGTTTATGAAACAAATAATCTTAACCAAAGTCCCTGATGGTTTCACAAAATATGTTGTTTTCACTTTCATCTATTTTTTGCCTAAAGTGCATCTGTTGGAATTTACACACATCTCATCATTTAAATGAACATGCTCACACACGCACACACATTCCTACTTGTCTGCTGTTTTCCATCTTTAATGTTTGACCCGTGCTTTCAAAACCCCTGTGATCGTAACCTCTAGTTAAGAGGGTTGATAAGCTCCGGGCTGCGGTAGAGAAACTGACTTCACAGGTCGATTGTGATTCTCCACGGTTTATTCGTCACAGTGCTGATGAGATTAACACTGCCATGCCTTTTCTGTTTTATCGCTCTTTGCAGACTCCTGCCAGCCTTGGACTTTTGGGTGCTTTAAAAAGAAAGAGATGAGATAGCCGAGACCATTTCTGGTGCTGACGATGTGACATCTTTCTGCGGTTTAGAGGTATTTCTTTCACACGAAGCAGATGCATTCACTCACACCTGCTTCTGGCAAATTCACAAAAACTTTTTTTTAACAAAACAGGGGAAACACTTCCTGCGTTTAATGTCTGGAGCCGTGCTGCATGAGGTCGACATTTCCTGACAGTGATGGTAAAATGAACTGACGTAAAGAACACTGCTAACTCGCCATTTTTATTTGACCTTTTATTAAAGTTTTGGTTGGTTTTCTATGCCTACAACAATCACATGCATGGTTAGACTCTGTCGCTTCTTTTGCCCCTTCACTGATAAACTGGCCCGGTGTCAAATGATACATGTGTTGTTTTTAGAGATCAAAGGCTGTTTGGAAAGAAAGGTTGGTAACTTATCCCATGTTCTTGATGATGAAACATGACAGTTTACTCCAGCATTGCCTGCTTGCATGAAAATGGCACTCACCAGCTTCCTCGCCTCCTCTCACCCGCCCTAGTCTCCTTTCTCTCTCACCCAATATGCACTCCCTCAGCAGATTAGAAACATGAATACCTTGTTGTCCCTGCAGGGTGTCCTGAATGTAGGCCATTAGCTTGCAACAACTTGCAAGGCTGCAGTTTTCAGTGATACATTGATTCAGCATTTCTTCTCAAATCAAGAATCCTATAACTTTACTGTATATTTGTCACTTGGTTAATAAGATAAATAATACTAAGTTAGTCTGACAAGCTGCTGTAGGCTGCGTAACATGATGCATGAAAAGCATTCCTCTCTGGAGGATGTACAGTATGTACAGTAGTGCTTAGAAGTTTGAGTATTCAGTTGTACAAAATGAACACTTTACAGTCTCTCATAGTCATTATACTGTGTTTGGCTCTGTGCATATCCCAGTGTGAGGGGGATACACATGCAGTTCATTGGCCAGCTGCTGAAAATGATGAAACTGGTTGTAAAAACTATTGATTCTGATTGCAACAGGACACTGCTGGGGAGTCTCCCCCAGTCTGTTTGCCCTCACAGCCACTACACAGCACTGGCCTGGTGTTTTTAAACAGCCACGTTGGCGAGTCTCGGGTCTGAGTCCTGCTCGTAGCGGTAATGATAGACCTCCATCTGGTCTCGGCACGCCTCTCTGATGTTGTTGAGCCACCGTTTGATGCCTCCCCGGTTGAGATACAGCACCATTAGAAACACCACCCCGATCAGAGCCAACACTATACCAAGGAACACGTATGACACCGCCTCAAGGTTCTCATTCATACAATCCACGTCCTCCTGCCGGAGCTTCTCCACAGGAACCCCCCTCTTGGCCTCCGGCTCGTTGCACAGAAGACGCCCTGCATCCGGGCACTGGGATGAATTCTTCAACCAGTAGTAAAACGCCTCCAGCTCACAGTTGCACCGAAACGGGTTTAAAGACAAGTAGACGCGTATGCGCCTTTCCTGGTACAAAATGGTCACATCATCTCCCCCTATGCTCTCTATTGAGTTATTTATCAGCACCAGCGCGTGGAGATTATACATATCTAATCTCATCAGGGGGATTGACTTCAGCCTGTTTCCCGCCAACTCCAGTCTGTGGAGGTTGCGCAAACTTTGTGTGCTGAGCGCATTTGAGAGCTGCTCCGTGGCCGAAGGCAGAATGGAGTAATTTAGGTAGAGAGAGCGCAGCTCCGGTAACCCGTGGAAAGCCCTGGCGGAGATAGACTCCAGCTGGTTGTGGCTCAGATCCAGCAAATGCAGCCGGGGGAGTCCCAGGAAGGCGTACGGTTCAATAACCTGTATCCCGTTATAGGACAGCGAGAGTGTCGTCATTTCCAACTCCGTGCCGTTGCTCATGAACGCACCACGCTGTAAAGTTGAAATGTTTCTCCCCTTGAGTATCAAGGTGGACGTCCACTCCGGTATGTCTCCAGGTACCTTGGTGTCGTCCCCATCACGGCAGGTGACTGTCCCCGAGTCTCTGGCACAGATGCAGAAGGACGGGCAGGCATCATCCGTCCTGACAGGGGAAAACAACAAACACGCCAATGCTGCGTAATACAAACACCACTGGTTCCAGATAGAGAAGATACACTTTGGATTGTCGGCACTGTAAAATATCCACATGTTCTCCCTCATTTTAGTCTCAAAGCAGGTCTGAGCCGATGTGTCTCGCAAAGAAGGTGACCGACTACAGTCCTCTCAGGCATGTAAAGTCGAATCAGTCCGGCATCGGGTACTTTACTGAACCATCAGAATAGAAAAAACGCTCCTTCGTCAGTCATCTCGGAGCTCTGTGTCTCTGTCTGCAGGAAAGAGGACTTTAGTTTGGGATATTTACGCATCAGGAACGGCGGACAACAGCCGAGTGTGGCTGCGTGGAGAGCTTCTGATCAGCGCTCCCTTGGTGGTATTTTTGACGCCTGTCACTGAGAGAGGGAGGGAGGGAGGGAGGGATGCACGCGAGACCAGTACTCCCAACTCATGAATTTGTGCTTATTATTTCTGAAATGGGTTTAACAATATAGTTCATCTAATACAAATATATATGGAAGTTACTGAAGTAAAATGTTTTCAGTGTTCACGTAATGTTGCATGAAGACTTGCTCTCTTGAGTTACTGTGACGTCATTCATTCAAACTGAAAAAAAAAAAAAAAAACACCAAACCCAATCCTCCCAGTTAAAACAACCGAGCTCATTTATCATGACTTAGATGGCTTCAGGATAATTAAACTCCTCATTTCCTTTCCGCATCATGTCTTTGTCATTACAGCCTCATTTTATGGCATCTGATGTTTGTTGCACATCAGTGGCTGTAATTATGAGCCTGTTTAATGGGGGGCCTTGGTCAGTTCTTTCCGATTGATCCATTTTCCAAAGAAAGAAAATTGGCTTTCGGATGGTTGGTCACGCTCTCCACGTCTACAGTATAAAGTTGGCAAACAAATCAATAAGCCTGAATACATAAGCTGCTTCCAACTCTGAGATTTGCATGGGTATGTGGTGCTGGACTGACGTGGGACTGATGTGTCATGTTGTGAGTGAAACCTGGAGGTAATCAGGATGAAGGACTCTAATTAGGCAAAAAGGTGTCTTGAAGATTTGATATGAGGACGTCACAGCACAGTACATCACTGAAATTCTTCATCTTTTATTGTAGATGGAAATAGTGAAAACATTTTGCCTATTTCTCAACCAACCAGCATAATAAAGCACACATAAATAAGCCAGAAGCAAAGACAATCTATCTGTTTAATTAAGTATATTAGTAGTCAGTGAGAAATAGAAAGTCTGCTCATGGTGAGACAAAGTGAACGAGAGGTTCAGCACCGTGGACAGCTCCAGTGCTTGTAGGTGTTTGTGTTCAAAAGGACACATTGGAGGAGACGTAGCTAACAAATGGAAAGATGAAAGGAAGCAAAGAGGAAAAGAGAAGTGTTACTTTCTTCTTTTCAACCGACAACAAATAAAACATGAGCTGAGGAAGAAAAAGAAATACAGAGGGAGACAGGAGAGAAGGGAGGTTCAGCACCACGGATAGCTCCAAGTGTCAGAGCAGTGCAGTTAGTTCTGAGTACATAATGAAAGGAAGAGAGGGAGAGAAATAAAGAAGTGGAGGAAGACAGTGTGGTTAAGACAAAAACAGAGAGATACAGGGCATTGGAAAGCACAGAGGAGTAAGGCACTACTGGAAATAGACAATTAAGGAAAGAAAGAAAGGCCAAATGCTGCTTAACAGCATCCATCCCTCTCTGTCACATGTGGTCCCGTTTATAAAAGACATCAGACACAAAAATAACTTTCAGGATGACCTGATTTAATTGGAGCAGATGCAGAGCAACAGTAAAACGTCGTTAGTCACAGAACATGCCTGATGACATCACGGTCACAATGAGCGCCTCTTCTGCCTCTCGTTCTGTGTGTGTGTTTGCTGAGTGAATGAAAGCACACACCTAGACAAAGAGCATCAGACCGTGTGTGTGTGTGTGTGTGTGTGTGTGTGTGTGTGTGTGTGTGTGTTCTCTCCTGATAAAGCAAAAGGTGTATCTGTGATCTGTCTTGAATTTGAGAGCCGGCCTTTTCGGTTTTCTACAGACATATGAGGACGTTTCTCTGAACTGTACTGAAAAGGAACATGTCCAAGAAAATGTTGTTTATTTTATTGATTTCGACCTGCAGCACTCTCCAGCTATATGCTTGTCTCACTGGTTGGCAAGTGTGTGAACGCTCCAAACATTACACCCATTTGTGTTTGTCTAACATTTCTATCTAAAACCATGATCATTAGTTAAATGCTACAACAGCCTCCACTCTTCTGGCTTCGGGCTGTCCTTTTTTTCGGTACCTGGCTGTAGGGATTTGTGCCTATTAAGCCACAGCAGCACCAGGGGCATGAAGGGAACTGATGTTTGGCAATAACCTCTCCAGGTCTCAATTGATCCTGAAGGTGTTGGATGAGATTTAAAACAAGTTCTTCCACACCAAACTGGGTTTGTGCATTTTCATGTTGAAACATGAACAAACTGCTGAGAGCACACTGTTGTCTAAAATATCAGTGTATGTCATGACATTCCTCTTCAGTGGAACTAAGGAGCGCAAACCATGCATGAAACAAAGCTGCAGACCAAAAGTACACACAATTATGTGAACAAAATTATCGGTAACACTTCATAATAACCATCATAAATAAACAGTCAGTTGAAATAGATGCTTTAGTTCATAGTTAATTTACTGTTAACTAACCATGAAATGATATTTTATAACATTTACTCATTACTATTAATGTTTAAAGATGCTTAAAAAGCATTCATCAACCATTCAACAAGTAATTATGATCATCATAAATGATAGATAAAGTTTTTCTAAGATTATTTTTTGCCTTTTTTTTGATAGTACAGCCTAAGTGTGAAGGGGTAGAGAGAGGAGATGACATACAGCAAAGGGCTGCAGGCTGGAATCAAACCTGCAAAAGCTGCAGCAAGGACATTAACTTCATCCATGGGACGTACCCACTAAACCACCATGCAGCATGGTGGTTTAGTGGGTACGTCCATGGTTAGCATTGTCGCCTCAAAGCAAGAGGGTTCCTGGTCTGAACCCAGGGTAGGGGAGCCCTTCTGTGTGGAGTTTGCATGTTCTCCCAGTGTCACCGTGGGTTTTCTCCAGGTACTCCAGCTTCCTCCCACAGTCCAAAGACATGCAGGTTAATTGGTGACTCTAAATTGTCCGTAGGTGTGAATGTGAGTGTCAATGGTTGTCTGTCTCTATGTGTCAGCCCTGTGATAGTCTGGCGACCTGTCCAGGGTGTACCCTGCCTCTCACCTAATGCCAGCTGGGATAGGCTCCAGCACCTTGCGACCCCCCAACAGGATAAGCGATTACAGAAATTAATGAATGAATGTATAATCAGTGCAACAATAAACAGTTAAAATAACCAAGTTGTAGCATTACTAATAATTAGTTAACCTTATTAAATATCATGTCATTGTTGACAGTGAAATAACCACAAACTTAAGTTTAATTACTGTCAATTTACCATTTATTAATGATGGTTATTATCAAGTGTTACTGGAACATCCACACACTTTTGGTACCATAGTGAATATAGAGTGAGTATAGTAGAGTGCAGAATCACAACTGACTCAGTGATTTATATTATAAAGAAATAGGAACAGATATGAGATTGATATCGATTTTCTAATCTACAGTAACTCTCAGCAAGACAGCAAATAAGCATATTATTCAAAATGACAAACTATTGCCTCAAAGGACAACAGTAACCAGAGAAGACATTTAGTGTTTGTATTTAACAAGGCCCATGGCACTGGGTAGTGTTAAGCTGATTGCAGTTCACTGCTCAAGAGCACTAAATCTGGAATGGACGGACAAAAATGTCCATGGCGGGGATGTAAATATAGACACTGTGAGAGGGAGAGATAGAGAAACTGAGACAGAGGCAACAGAGCAGAAAGAGATAGAGGATGATGGAGAATGTGGTTACTGCTGGTGCTCCTGATAAGCACAGAGGGCCGTATTAACATCAGGTTGTTTTGCCTATTACGGCATATGGGATAGTATTTCTTCCTCCAAACAAACAAACAAGGACATCTGCTCAGTCCTCCTCATCTCCTCTCAGGACCTTTCCGCCTGCTCCACAAGTGTCTGCTGTATCTGCCGGTGCAGAGAGCTGATTTAGTGGTGGCTGCTGTTGCTGAGATATTGTTATGGTGCCCTCCTCGTGGCCTTCAACTTGACACTGAACCTTGTAATTGATTTACTCAAGACTGCCCATCCCTATCTCCTGACTACAGTCTGTGTATGTGCCTGTGTGTGCGCCTGTGTGTATGTGTGTAAACTTGTGGGTGAGTGACCAGTTGCCAGTGACCTTTGCAGTTGTTTTCCTCATATCCTCAGGTGTGTCATTATTCCTCTCAGTGTAGAGCATTATATGTCCACTGCAAATTCCACTCTCACATTTTGATTTCCTCCTTCGTCCATCCTGCGTCACTCGTCATTCATTAACCTTGTTTTTAACGGCCAACCTGATCTGCCCTCGTCCTCCCTCCAGCTGGTACATGACTGGCACATACAGGACTTCCTCATAATTAAATACGATCCAGTATGACCCAAGAAAAGGACGAGAGCATGCACAGCAGTATGTAAAGACTGCAGAGTCTTCAAGGCTTGAGGGTGTCACAATGCGCAAAATAGCTGGTACAGTAGCTTAGATCTCACCACTAACATGACTCAGCACTATATGCACCATATCTCCTTGGTGCATTGTGTATTATTACACAGAAAGAATACTGTGCTCCCAGTTGTTGGTCTCACACAGTGGCCGGCAGTGGTCTTCGGCCTGCAGGCATCTCACCTTGGTGTCATCCAAATGACAAAGTCAGCTTATACACTACGTCACTTTCTAATCATTGATATTTGACATTTGTTTGAACATATGTAACATATGTAGTTTGCAAAAATGTGCAGTGCCGACATTTTCTTCTGGTGTGTGTTAAAGATCCAACATTAGAAAACACTGTTGCCTAAAAATGATGCAGCAGCTTTATTGACAGAGCTTACATGTATATGTGTTGACCCTTGCCAAAGGGTGTTTGAATGCACATTTAAATTTTTGGCCAATCCTCTTAGCTAGAGCTGCTGACAGCAAACATGGTTTATGGAGCACTGGGATCTGTGCTGAACAAAGTTAAACAATGTGGCAATTTGGGATTCCATACTTTGTTGTGTTTGGGGTTATAGAGCGATTTGATCTCTCCTGGGTGTCCATAAATTTACTTCAGTTTTGGCCGTAAGTGGAGATATGGGATGGGAACCTCCAAACATGAGGCATAAATGTCAAAAGCTTCA